TGAATCACAGACCTGTATCTCTGAAACAAATAATACATTATATGTTAAAGAAAAAAAGTTCCCCATTTAAGAAAATAGCGCCATCATTCGTCCATTTACTCAGGCAAAAAACTGGAGAGTTATCCTCGGCTTCTCTTTTATGTAATCTTTATCAAATCCATTAGAAAATCTTACTGGGTCTAATTTCTATTTATATGCTGATTCTGTCCACTTCCGGGATTTTCCTCTGCTACAATCCTGATCTAAGTCACTGTCACCTCTAGTTTAAACTATTGCAATAAACTCCTAGCCAGTTCTCCTGCTTCCATTTTTACCTCCTGGATATTATGATACCAGGCATAATAATCTATTAAAAAATAAATCACTGTCCTGCTCAACATCCTCCAGTGGCTTCCCATCACTGAAGAAAATCCTTGACTACTTATCTGAAGTAACTGCTTATCACTCTTCCCCTAGATCATGCCACGTAGAGACGTTCGCTATTTTCTCAATATAAAGTGGCTGACAAAATTAAATGTTTGTAATAGCAGAGATTTGGAAGCAACTTCAATGTTACCCCAAAGGAGAATGGCCTAAATAAACTTAAATAAATTCTTTCATTAGAATACTTTTACAGTAGGGGCGCCCGGGTGGCTCAGTCATTAAGCATCTGCCTTCGGCTCAGGTCATGATCCCAGGGTCCTGGGATCGAGCCCCACATCGGGCTCCCTGCTCGGCGGAGAGCCTGCTTCTCCCTCTCTGACTCCTCCCGGTTCCCTCTTCCGCTGTCTCTCTCTCTGTCAAATAAATAAATAAAATCTTTAAGAAAAAAAGAAGTTACCTCTGAGAACAGAGGGATGGTAATGTGATAGGGGAAGGGTTTCTATGGGGTTTCCACTATATCTGTGATGTTTCATTTCTAAGCTGGAAGGTAGACAGATAAATGTTAATTTTCTTATTATCTATACCTTTTTTGTGTGCCTGATATACTTAATAATAAAATTAAATGCGATAACGGTGACTAGCATGCAATAATAGTCAATATTTATATAGAGCTTGCTTTGAGTTAGGCACTATTCTAAGTGCTTTATATATGATAGCTCATTTATATTCTCATGAGCCTAGGAGGTAAGTACTATTTTTTTTTATTTTTTAAAGATTTTATTTATTTATTTGACAGAGAGAGAGCACAAGCAAGGGGAGCTGCAGGCAGAGGGAGAGGGAGAAGCAGACTCACCACTGAGCAGGGAGCCCGATGTGGGGCTCGATTCCAGGACCCTGGGATTATGACCTGAGCCGAAGGCAGAGGCTTACCGACTGAGACACCCAGGGGCCCCTGTAAGTACTATTTTTATCTCCATTCTAAGGATGAGAAAAGGGAGACACAGAAAAGTTATGTAAGACTAGATGGTGAAGCTGATCTGGGGTGGGGGGAAGGCAGCTTGGCTCATTGCCCTCTACTCTTATTAAGCACACGGTAGGTTCTTAATATTCAGGTGAAATTTACAAGGTGATTATTTTTGTAGGTCAAAATGCTCAAATATGTCAGCAATCAAATATGGTTCAACCTAATAAATGGCACATAAAAACAAATACAGCTGAAATTATAATTTCACAAGGCTCTATGATGATTCTGCATTTGCTTTTAAACATATTAAAGTCTTATGTATGCCTATCCTAGATATTGTTACCACCGAAGCATGAGGAAGTAAATACCCAAAGTAATTCCCAACCATTAACACTGAATCGAGGGAAGAAAGGAAGAGTGGTCACAATCAGTGTAGGGTGTGTAAGAGCCACCGTGGTTGGAAGGATAGCTGAGCTGCCCTCTCAACAGTCCGAGCCTCCCCTTCCTTGGCCTCTCTGTTTGTCTGAGAGGCTGTTTCACACCAGCTGGGACTTTGCCATGGGTTTGGCTCAGAAGTCCTTGTCTGCAAGCCTCTGAGTGAACTCCTGAGACACCCAGGCAGGGCAGTAGTCTTCCTCATTAGAGCACCCAAGGGCATGAGAGCAAAGATCCCTCTCCCACAGCTCTTGGCTGTACCCCGACTCCCAAGAAATTGGAAATAGAAAGAAGAGGACAGGAGACAGATACACATCACCCAGGATCAATGTGTCAGTCCTGGCAGTTACAGTCCTTGTTTTTAGCTGACATTTCCAAGAGTCGCTTTATGTATCTGTTCAAAGGCATAGTCTCCTTCTCACTCTTCCTGTCTCTAGTGGTAAAAAGTTAACTCCCTCTTACATATAGCTAACAGAGTAACTTGCATGAAACACTGCTTTCCTCCATGCCCTTCCTCAAGAAAAATCATTCCCCATATTCAATTTGATATTCCTTAGTGCAACTTCTGCAACTCCTCATCTCTTTTATAGGTGCCCTCTCATTCCATGCCAACCGGAACAAAACTCACATCAGTGGTTGGATCTACCCTGGAGCCTGGTGGAAACAGAAGAATGGACAGGGTTGTTTCTGAAGTGTAGTGGAATTATGGTGCACACTATTGCATACGGGCTGTTTCTGTGGGCATGAATGTATGTGTGTGCACATGGAGAGGGGCGCGTGCATGAGTGCACAGATGTAGTTGATAAGTGTGCCTGAAGGTGGTGTGAGCATTTTCTAGAACCCTATGCTTAAAGTTTTCACTCCATAAATCTCTTACTGGCGGTACTCTGAAAGCCAAGGACTGTG